GATGAAGAATGAAGAGGGAAGATGAAGAATGAAGAGGGAAGATGAAGAATGAAGAGGGAAGATGAAGAATGAAGAGGAAGAAGAGGAAGAAGAGGAAGAAGAGGAAGAAGAAGAAGAAGAAGAAGAAGAATGAGAAGAATGAGAATTCTTCATTTTGGGCCGCTTACCGAATTATCATTTTCTTCATCAATATTATTATTATTATTATATGGCATTAATAAATCCATATCAGGCAAGGCAGTATAAGGCTCCAATTTATTAGATATACGAGTACTCGATAATGAATCCATCTATTAAAAATATGAAATGAAAAATATGATAAAGAAATTAAATATTATAAATATTATAATAAAATATAATAAAATATAATAATAAATTTTATAAATTCAATATTAAATATAATAATAATAAATGTTTGAACTAACCGATAATAATTCGTTTAATTCATCCATGTCTACTTTCCAATTAACATTATAAGTTTTCGCGATCTCTTCAAGATATCGATTTACTAAAATCGGATCTGCCGAACTGAACATAAGTTTTTGTACAAGCTAAAAATAAAAAAAAGGTAAATCATTATTTTTTCATTTTTTAACAAGACAACAATAATAATGTTGATAATGTTTAATTATTACCTTCTCATTTACACAATTGTTTCTATTGTCAATCGCATTCATAGCAAATTCCTTCCCAAATTTCGCTATTAATTGATCACGCACCTTTAAGAAAATAAAGGAAATAAAGAAAATTCTCGTTAACAATTAAATAAAATATTAATAAATAAAAACCTATTTAATTTTTAAAGACTTACCAATCCAAATTCTTTAATTTCGGATCTGGGTGCTGCATAAATTATTGTATTCACTGCTTCGCTAATTGAAGGATCACAATTTCTATATAAAAAAAAAAAGAATTTTAATTATTGATAATAATAATTAATAATTGAAATTATAATTGGAGATAATAATCGAAACCATATCTAAAGACTATTTACTTCATTTGTTCCAGAAGACCAAAACGGGCTATTAAAAGTTCACAATAAAGTTCCAACATCTCCAGTGCTTCAATATAATAATCCTCTCTAATAACACCTTCAACCTATTATTATATTATTATTATTATTATTATTATTATTATAAAAGGTTTTCTAAATATTTATGATGTATTGAATTTATTATTTCATTCATATAATAAAATATATATAATATATGTAATACCCGTATTTTTGCACTTTCTTCTTTATCTTTCTCAAGTAACGCGGCTATCTCTTTACGAACTTGTTTATTAATAGAATCTTTCTTTTGTTGCATCAATTTAAGACGATTGATAGTTAACTTTAATTGAACTTTAAGTCTATTGGGATTGAAGGATAAAGGCATTTTTATTTTTTTTTCTTCTAAAAAAAAAATTGGGAATTGTAGTTTTATGTACAGAGTTAAAAATGGAGATTTATCAAATCTAAACTGATCAAACTTGTCATTTTGGATAAATTTTTCCTTTTTTTTATATTATGGATTTTTATAAGAACTTTTTAGAATTTTTTACAATTTCAACGATTCTTATTTTTTTTTATTATTTTAATTAAGTTATAACCGCGAACATAATAAATAATAATAATATAAAATAATAAAAAATCAATTTTATTTCTTGGCAGTAGCACTGACTTTTGCCTTCCTGGTACCACGGAATTTTTTAGCACGATTCTTTCGTTCTTTGCGTTGTTTACGAGCAGTCTTCTTAGATTCTTCAAGTTTATGCTTTAATAATAAATAAAATAAAACAATATTAAAAATGATGAGATAAATTAATTAAATAATTAATTAAATTATTCGAAAACCAAAATAAATAAAAAAAAATAAATTAATTATTCATCCTAACAAGCCTAACCGTTTCTAGATCATCATAAATTAACGTGAAACCAGATCCACCACCAAAAACGAATATGACTTCTCGAGTTTATAATTTGGCTTTTCCTTGAACGTCATCTTTTGATAAATTAGCCAAACGGGATTAATAACATTTATTTCCTTTTCAAAAGGCAGTTAATGAAAAATTTACTCGTTCTGATGGTAGCTGTATCCTATAATATAAATATATAATAATTACTATATTATAATTATCTATTAAATACATACCATTTTGAAAAAAAGTAAGAGGAAGTGGAAATTTAATTTTTATCATGATTATAAACTTAATCATTTGATCGATCTGTGTTGTGCCCATGACTGAATTTCCCCCCCCCCCAAAAAAAATAACCGCAGGTCTCTCAAAACGATACCAAGAGTTGCCCTAGGATAAAACCTAAAGAAAGTCCATAAATAAATACTACTAGAAAATTAAAATAATAATAGAGAATAGTTTTACCTTGCTAATACCCTTCAAAATGTATTATCAATTTTATTCCAATTGCTGAAGTATGGTCTTTACATTGCACGATAACCGTAAAGCCGTTGTAGGATCCCATGATGTCGATCCCTATCACGCAAACTCCCGAAATATATAGAAAAAATGGTTTCTAAGTAAAAATTGTTGCTTGCCATGAAAGATAAAAATGCTCGTGTCGAAAAAAGCCATTATCTCATATGTTCGATTCACTTCAATCAAGAATAAGAGCAGTAAAGAAGGACGTTCACACCCGGCGGATCGACTAACAGCCTCCGTGTGACCCGAAGAGCTTCCAGTTCTTTATTGATTTATCTTTGATATAAGCAAGCATAACTTCAAACATATATGGCCAACTGTTACTTAGTAAAATAGTGAGTCTTACTTAGAAACGCTCGCGAAAGTAAGAATAATAAAAGTACGTGAGATGTATAGGATAATCAGAAGAGATTTTTTTTTTTTTTTCACAAAGAAATGTATGGATCAGGGGGGTAAATAAATACGAGAGATGTGGTGGTAAATAAAACATATTTTGACGATTACTATCTAATAAAGAATTATACATTTGAAAAACTTCGCTCTACGCTACAACTTGATACTAGTAACCAAATATAATCAAAAGCTATTTTACAAAGAATTGGCCTTAATTAACCAATATTGATCCAATTCAATTTCGTTAACTATTTCACTATCTAATCCACAATAAATTCCCCATTCTTGTAATCTGCAAAAATTAAATAATCTTTACTGCGGATTATGCGTTAGACTAGAATTATGTGATTTTATGATGTGACAAACTTAAATTATTGCATTTTTATACAAAATTATTCGTTTAATGTGATATTATCAAATCATCGTCCCTGATAGAATTGATGTTGGTCACGCGAATCATGTATGGATTAAATGTGGATTTGATCAAAAAGTTTTAAAAGAAATACAAAGGCCATAGTTAAATTTTTTTTTGACACGAGCATTTTTTACTTAGAAACCATTTTTTTTCTATATTTTTCAGGAGTTTGCCTGATCAACAATCATGGGATCCTACAGTGCAAAGACCATACTTCAGCAATCGGGGTAAATTTGATAATACATTTTGAAGGGGTAAAAACTATTCTCTATTATTATTTTAATTATCTAATAGTATATTTATTTATGGACTCCTTTAGGTTTTATCCTAGGGCAACTCTTGGTTTGTTTGTTATTTCTTGTTGGAGTTATTACACCCAACAAGCATTATAACATGCATAGACCAATTTTAATTTGATTTTTTTTTTTTTAATTCCAGAGAATAAGGTGTAACGAATATTATTTGTTTTGGTGTGGAGCTGAAAGGATTGATTAATCAAAAAGTTTTAAAAGAAATAATGGCGGAGGTAATTTGACTAAAGAAACCACAGCTAAAGACTATTTACTTCATTTGACCAAAACGGGCTATTAAAGTTTGTAATAAAGTTCCGTGCTTCAATATAATAACCTAATATTATTATATTATTATTATATTAAATATTAGAATGTATTGAATTTATTATATCATTCCTGTAATATATGTAATACCCGTATTTTTGAACGTTTTTCCTTTTCAAGTAACGCGGCTATCTCTTTACGAACTTGTTTATTAATAGAATTTTTCTTTTGTTACATCAATTTAAGACAATCGATAGTTAACTTTAATTAAACTTTAAGTCTGAAGGATAAAAAATTGGGAAATTGTAGTTTTGTTGTCCTGTACAGAATTAAAATGGAGATTTATCAATTTTTATTAAATTTAATAATTATAATTAATATTAAAATCTCTAAACTGATCAAACTTTTGACATTTTTAGATAAATTTTTCCTTTTTTTTATATTATGGATTTTTATAAGAACTTTACAATTTCAACGATTCTTATTTTTTTTATTATTTTAATTAATTTATAGCGAACATGATGATAATAATAAGAATAATATAAAAGTAATAAAAAATCACTTTTATTTCTTGGCGGTAGTACTGGCTTTTGTCTTCTTGGTACCACGTAATTTTTTGGCACGATTCTTTCGTTCTTTGCGTTGTTTACGAGCAGTCTTCTTAGATTCTTCAAGTTTATGCTTTAATAATAAATAAAATAAAATAATATTAAAATGATGAGATAAATTAGTTAAATAATTAAATTATTCGAAAACAAAAATAAATAAATAAATAAAAATAACAATAGAAAATAAATTAATTATTCACCCTAACAAGCCTAAATTTGGGTTCGAACTTTTTAGCTGTTTCTAGATCATCATATATTAATGCGAAACCAGTAGATCTACCTCCACCAAAATATGTATGAAATCCAAAAACAAATATGACTTCTTTCTCGACTTTATATAATTTGGCTAATTTTCCTCGAACGTCATCTTTTGATAAATTAGCTAAACCGGGATGAATAACATCAACTACCATTTGTTTCCTTTTCAAAAGGCGGTTAGAAAGAAATTTACGAGTTCTGATGGTAGCTGTATCCTATAATATATAATATTGTCATAAATTTTATTGTCATCGGACAGCAATGAAAGCAATCCATAATTAATTTAATTAATTAATAATTATTATTATCCATCAAAGAATATAAAAAATTTTCATACGAAAATTTTCTATAATTACTATATTATAATTATCTATTAAATACGTACCATTTTTGAAAATGTAAAAGAGGAAGTTGGAAATTTAATTTTTATCACGATTATCAACTTAATCATTTGATCGATCTGTGTTCATATATTAAATGTTGGTCACACGAATCATGTATGGATTACACCTAGAATATGTAAAGACTTTTAACTTTGGAGGAGGTAGTAAGGGACATTGTTCGTTTTATTGTGGAGCCGGAGGGATTTGTTAAACAAGAGGTTTTAAAAGAATAAGCTGGAAGTTTTAAAAATAAAATATTATAAAAACCCGTTTAAATTCTGTAAAGTTTTATTATTTGTGAAGGGAGATTGGAAAATTAGCAGAAGAAAATAAGGACTTAAAGAGGGATAATGAGGCTTAAAGAGGATAATAAGGAGTCAAGTAGGAGACTTTTATTTAACTGAAGAACAAATTAATTCAAATAATCAAGAAATTCGACAGCTAAAGATAGAACGGCAAGAAGTAAAGCAAAATATTGATGAAAAGGTTTGGATCAATTGTCTTCAAGATAAATTACATTCTATGAGTAAAAATGTGCTTGGACAATCTACACGACACAATAATTGGAATTGACCAAGCAGCGATTAGCCGTTGTCGGAAAGAATAAAGCTCTAAAACAAGGATAATATGCCAAAAGATAATTTAGAAAAAAAAAGCAAAAAACAAGACATTAAAAAAAATTCTAGGTGGATATGGTCATTCAGGTTTTAATAATCTTATTATCACTATTGCTCAAGAAACTGGAGACAAATTACTAAGTTCTCAAATCAGTTTGCGCACAGCAACTGGCTATCAGATTTCCAAAAAAAAATCTTTTTATGCTGCTCAGTAAGCCACTGAAACTACTTTAATAAATTAAAAGAATTCGGTTAAAATTATCGTCTTGGGAATTGATGTCAGTCGTGATGCGGTACTCAAAAAATTTCGTAGTAGGAACGGGTCAACAAAATTTAAATGGGAAGGTGGTAATTTCGGAAAATGTTTGTTTTTGGGAAGTGGCCTTATTATTTTTAGTTTTTTTATTTCTTTTGTAATTGTTTTCTTATTCTTTTTAAATAAAAAAACTTATCTATTAATTGACTAATGACTCTTAAAGTTTATTAATCAATGATAATCCAGCAATTACTCTGACTCTTTCTGGTTTTGATATTAATTTGTTATTACCAAGTTCGTTCCACACGATATAAAGAGGTCGAGAACATTATCCGCGATCCAGATTATCCAACTTTTTATCCGTGATAATTTATTTTTTCAGCTGATCACTGGACGGAAGGAAGTGATTGCGTCGCTCCAGTTTTACCATAATATTCATAATATTATGTTCTATAATATCAGCTCAAAAGGTCAAAAATTTTGTAGCATAGATTATCCTGAATTTTTGCGTACCGATTTTGTGTCTATAAAAACAAGAAAAAAAATGCCAATGTCTCGAGTAAAAAAAACGAGTAATTAATAAAGCGATTATTGCACCTTGTATAATCAAACGCTTTACCATAACATTATTTCGGAATAAATGACGTACAATGCATCTGATATTTTTCTATTAACAATTTTTCATGCCATGATCGCGATCCGCGAATTATATAACCGACATCTTGCCAATGGTGATGTTTTATTCTGTTATCCCAGAAAATACAATAATTTATTTTGCTGCAATATTTATTTATATGCGTAAAAGCTCGCATCAAACCCCCCGCCCCGACATTTAAATTGTTGAAGTGATTTCTTCCTGATATAAAAATGTTTAATAATTATAATAAGATTATAAATTTAAATTTAATAAACATTGATAAATCTCCTACATAACAACAAAAACTACAATTTCCAAATTTTTTTTTAGAAGAAAAATAAAAATGCCTTTATCCTTCAATCCAAATAGACTTAAAGTTCAATTAAAGTTAACTATCAATCATCTTAAATTGATGCAACAAAAGAAAAAATTCTATTAATAAATAAGTTCATAAAGAGATAGCTGTGTTACTTGAGAAGGATAAAGAAGAAAGTGCAAAAATACGGGTATTACATATACTATATATATATTACAGGAATGATATAAATTCAATACATTCTAATATTTAATAATAACAATAATATAATAATAATAGTTTATTAGAGAGAATTATTATATTGAAGCACTGGAGATGTTAGAACTTTATTGTAAACTTTAATAGCCCGTTTTGGTCTTCTAGAACAAATGAAGTAAATATCTTTAGCTGTGGTTTATTTAGTCAACTTTTTAAATTACCTTCGCCATTATTTCTTTTAAATTTTTTGATTAATCAATCCTCCAGCTCCACACTAAACCAAACAATATTCGTTACACATTCTCTGAAATTAGAAAAAAAAAAAATCAAATTAAAATTGAAGTCTTTGCATATTCTAGTGCTTGTTGGGTGTAATAACTCCAACAAGAAATCAAGAGTTGCCCTAGGATAAAATAAAGAAAGTCCATAAATAAATACTAGATAATTAAAATAATAATAGAGAATAGTTTTTACCCCTTTCAAAATGTATTATCAATTTGACGTATGATGCATAACTGGTAGGATCCAATGACATCGATCCCCTATCACCTCGTAAACTCCTGAAAAATATAGAAAAAAATGGTTTTTAAGTAAAAATTGTTGCTTCCCATGAAAGTTAAAATGCTCATGTCGAAAAACCATTATCTCATATGTTCTATTCATTTAAACCAAAGAATAAGAACAATAAAGAAGGACGTTCACACCCAGTGACTTGACTAACAGCTTTCGTGTGGCCCGAAAAGCTTCCAGTTCTTTATTGATTATCTTTGATATAAGCAGCATAACTTCAAACATATATGGTCAATTGTTACTTAGAAAATAGTGAGTTTACCTAGAAACGCTCAGAGTAATAAGTACAAACAAGTTTTTCAAAGCAGTGAATAGAAAAGTAGTGCCTTAATAGATTGATGTTGATCACACATAGATCAATTTTAAAATTGCAATACAACTTCAGAAAATAAGGTAGTAATTATTTGTTTTAATGTGGAGCTGAAGGGATCGAAGTTTTAAAAGAAATTAGGGAACTGCAAGGGAATTTGAAAAGTTGACTAAAGAAACCACAGCTAAAGATTATTTACTTCATTTGTTTCAGAAGATCAAAACGGGCTATTAAAGTTTGTAATAAAGTTCCAACTCCAGTACTTCAATTAATAGTTCTCTTTTATAACACCTTCAGCTATTATTGTTATCATTCCTATAATAAATATATATAATATATATAATATATATAATACCCATATTTTTGCACTTTCTTCCTTATACACAGTTATCTCTTTATGAACTTTGTTTACTAATAGAATTTTTCTTTTGTTGTGTCAATTTAAAACAGTTGATAGTTAACTTTAATTGAACTTTAAGTCTATTTGATTGAAAAATAAAAGTATTTTTATTTTTTCTTCTAAAAAAAAATTGGGAAATTGTAGTTTGTTGTCATGTACAGAATTAAAATGAAAATTTATCAATTATTAAATCTTTAAACTTGATAATTTTTTATATCTAGAAGAAATCACTTCAACAATTTAAACAATTATTATTTTTTTTATTTTGTCAGAATTGGAATTTGGTGTAAGCTCTTATGCATATAAATAAATAATGAATAATTATATGTCAGACAACAGAATAAAGCATCTCCATTGTTAAAATGTCCTGGTTATATAATTTGTGAATTGTGACCATGGCAAGAAAAATTGTTAACAGAAAAATATCAAACCTATTTTATTCCAAAATAGTTGTTATTTATATTATGAATAAAATAACTAATAAATTTTTTATTTAAAATAAATAAAACAAATATAAAATAAAAATAAAAAAACTAAAAATAATATGATCCCTTCTCCAAAACAAATACTTTTTGAAATTACTACCTTTCCATTTAGATTTTGTTGAATCACCTGAATTTTTCTTATTATCCAATTCTCTCCCTTTAAAAATCTTCTCTTCATCTTCTTATTTTCTCTCCTTAAGTTTTCCATATTTTTCACTAAGCTCTCGATATCCTTTCTTAAACTCTCATTATCTTCTCTCAAATCCTTATTTTTTTTATTAATTGTTCAACCCTTTTCGTGTTTTCTTAATTTCATTTAGAATCTTTTTATTAACTATCTCCTTTAGTTCCACATTAAACAAACAACATCCCTTTCTATGTCATCCTCAATAGTTAAAATTAAATTTAAATTTAAATTTGAACTCATTGCATAATTTAATGTATCTCAAGTATAATAATTCTGATTAGAAATAACAAACAAACTGAGAATTGACTCAAGAAGGAACCTAAAGAAAGTCTATAAATTAAATACTACTAGATAATTAAAATAATAATAAAGAATAGTTTTTACTTTGATAATATTCTTTGAAATGTATTATAATATCAACTCCAATTTGTGAAACACAGTTCTTACATTATTCAATGATTGTAAATCAGTGGAAAGATCTTATAATATCAATTTGACAAACTCCTAAAAAATAAAAATTGTTATCTCAAAAAATAAAAATACTTGTGTTAAAAAAAAAAAGTCATTATCTCATATATTTTAGTGAATCTTACTTGAATCTAGAAACATTTATATTTATTGAGAGTAATTTATTTAAAATAAAATTTTCAAAGTGATCTCTAATTATAAAAAAATTATATTAAAAGAAAACAATGCAAAAATAATTGTGATATTTAATATGGTCTAGCTATTGTTTAAATAGATTAAAATAAATAATTAAAAATATATTTATATATATTATGTCTACAATACTACAATAGTCAACTATAAAATTCATATATAAAAAACTTAGAAAATAAATTCATTTATGACATCAATCATTAATTATATTTTAAATTATCACAAAAAATAAAATTTATCTTTTATTAAAAAAATTTTTTCATAAAAATAAAATTTAACAATTGATATTTTATTAAATTTTTTTTTTAAAATCAGAAGTCTTTCAATATTTAAATAATACATCAATATTAAAAATTGGTTTTTTTTTATTAATATGTAATATCTTGATATTTTATTATAATATTTATAATATTATTATTTTTCATTGACTCATTAACAATTATCAAAAGTTTTTTTTTCTATGAAACATTAATATTGTAATCCTTTTTTCTACATTAACATATTATATAAATAAATGTAAACTAATAATATTATAAATTTTTTAATTATATCTTATAAAAACTATGATATTTAAAATATACATATTCCCAAAATTGATTTTGGATTTTTGAGGTATTTCAACTTTTTGAGATTTATACAAAATCTATTCTATATATGGAAG